GTGATGATGATGAGTCAAGGAGGCAGCGTCAGAAGCAAACGCACCAAGAGACGTTTATAGGTATGCATGTAAATAAGCACTGTTTGCTGTGTGTTACTTGTAGGCATAAAAGCCAACAATAGCCGGAACGAAGATGAAGCATCGTTTAAGATTGCAGAGTGCGTACGTCTGTTTTTAGCGAATGAACGAAAGGAAGCGGGCTCTGCATAAAGTAGGGAAGGGTGACGGAGAGCCACCTAAAGCCTGAGGCAAACAAAATACATACAAAAAGACACAGATGAAATGGCAGAAAATTATCCAAAAATGCCAAAATTTCGTAAGATGTAACCTTAGCCGTACCCCATGCGCTCCTTTTCAGCAATCATGCTTCCTTCTCCATGCCCCCCGCCCCACCCTAAGCTGTTGCAAACATTCTAACTGCCGTCGGTTGCCTCTTACAAATCTTGCTTTTGTTGCGCTGCCACAACTCACACTTATAATGCTCAGTTTCATCGTTCATTCTGGTTGGCGTCTTTGTCTTTTGGTTTCAATGTTCTTAAACTCATCGTCTCTGATATTCCCTAGCGCGTTGCTGCTGCTGTAACTTGCCAAGGCCACCCACTACCCAGCCCCCCCGCCTGTGGAGTGAATGTCTGCTATTCGTCCTATACTTCAGTTGGCATTGTTTTTGTTTGTTTGCGACAACGAGTCGGCTTGTATTGCTTTTAGGTAGGTACGCCCGTGTTCCAGTTGAAAATGTGTGTGCTTCGACTTTGACATGGGTGTCGGAGTAGTTCGAGTTGAGTAGAGTGGGGTCGAGGGCTTGTGGGTTGGAGCATTCGGTTGGGACTAGTAACGTCTTACATCTCGACTTCTGCTGAGTTGGGTTGAAAGTAATGAACGTAGGCGCATGATATCCCATTGCGCTGTTCTCTAAGTTTTGTGGTATTGTGGCTTTTGGAATTTTTTTCCTAGATTTTTTATTTGTTTAAAGGAAAACAGGTTGATGAGGGAACTATACTTTCGAAAACAAAAAAGCAAACATCCATATATACATACATAAATATGTATAAAATTATGGACTAGTGATCATGAAATGATGGTGGAATGAAACAAAAGAGACCAAAAAGAAGGAAATGGTTTGAAATTAAATGAAGTGAAAAGAAATATTTAGAATGGAATGAAATAAAATGAACGAAATGAAATGAATTGAAATGAATGAAATTGCAATGGAATGGAATGGAACGAAAAACAGCTAATGCGTGGAAAGTAAATTAAACGAAGAGAAGTGAAATGAAATGGAGTGAAATTAGATGAAAGGAAAAAAGTTAAATGAAATCAAATAAAATTGAGCAAAGAAATGAATCAGGTGAAATGAAATGAAAGGGTGAATGGAAGTGAAATGAGTCGAACATAAAAATTTGAGTAAAATAATAAGAAACGAAGGGAAGGAAATTAAATTAAGCAATGGAAGTAAATGCCAGGAACGAACAGAAAATTGAATGCATAAATAAAAATCGTCAAGATCGCAAAAGAGAACAAATGCAAAGGTGCAGCTGCTATTGAAAAAGTAAAATAAAGATAGGACGGATCTCCACACACAGGAAACTCCATGGCAACAACATTTGAAGACGAATTTATAAGGAAAGGAAAATAATAATTCGTCGTCGACTCTTACAACGACTCTCTTTAGTTGGGCCGTGTTTGAATATATCTGGAACGATGGTGCTGGCTAGAAACATGATATCAAATTACCAAAGGAATTGTGGTCTGAAAAAGACGAAAATCTCGGATCTGCTTAGTAGATCAAGGACAGGAGTATTCGGAATATTTAGTAGCAGAAACCACGAGGAACTGGCCTCTTGGTAAACATGCGACAAAAATAGGACCTCGTCATAATAGAACTTGCCGCAGCTATTCGCTGGAAGTTAGCAAAGAAAGTTCAGAGCATTTCCTGATTGCAGGTGTTAGGCATAAAGCAATATCTAGAAAGAAATATACTAACAAAAAAGCGGTTCTATCAGGAGCTTCTAGAAGCAAGTTGGATAAATTCATCAGTGAATCTAAATGGGTAACCAAGTAATATGACCCTAACTCGATCGTCCAAGCCCCATGGTTTCTCTTGTTATTTGAGATCATTTGCTCACTAACCCTTTTTCTCTTCTGGAGATCTTATTCTAAAAAAAAGCGCTTTCCTAAAGAAATGCGCTTCATTTTTAATTCCGTCCTTGCTTACTAACATTCTCTGCCTTCCACGAAGCCACTCACATTCTCATTTACTTTGATAAAGGTTACCATTTTTCTTCCCCCTTGCCGCTCCCCTATCCTTCAGGCCATCACTTTTAATGTTCCTTTCGAGATTGCTGTTGCCGAGCCTGCACTTTCTTCAAAGTTGCTTATTGAACTTGGGTGTCTGTTTTTATGTATGCATGTATGTATGTATGTAACTCACTCGCACTGGATTCCCTCCTTGTACTGCTGTTTCGGCTGACTTGGATCAACAAACACATGTGGAGAAGGTATGTGTGTGTGTGTATGCGTGTTTTAATGCTTCCATAAAAAGGACCCACGGAAGGGCAAGAGACTGAGGCACCCCTGTGTTAATGTATGCGAGCTGCTTGGAAATTGTACTTAAACCTTTTTGGCAGGACCTACTACATACATACATACATACATAAATAGGTAAA